AAGAGCACCAATCCATTTTGCAATTCTGTCATGAATTTGCTTGTGGGGGACACTTCGGACCTAGCCGGACTTTGAGAAAGGTCTTGAATGTGGATTATTTTGGCCAACCATGTCACGCGATTGTTATATGTTTTGCAAAAGTTGTGAGCGGTGCCAAAGGACGGGAAACATTTCGCAAAAGAACCAAATGCCCCAAAATCCAATCCTTGTTTGTGAAATTTTTGACGTATGGGGGATTGATTTTATGGGCCCATTTCCCGTATCATTTGGCAACGTTTATATTTTACTCGCGGTTGACTATGTTTCTAAATGGGTTGAAGCCAAAGCCACAAGATCGGACGATGCCAAAACGGTTATCGAGTTTTTAAAGTCTAATGTTTTTGCGAGATTTGGTGTGCCTAGGGCTTTGATTAGTGATAGAGGGACGCACTTTTGCAAAAAATGATGGAGGCTCTATTGAAGAAGTATCACGTGACTCATCGTGTCTCCACTGCCTATCACCCTCAAACGAATGGTCAAGCGGAGGTCTCGAATCGTGAAGTGAAGTCTATTCTAGAGAAAACAGTGAATCCGACAAAGAAGGATTGGAGTTTGAGACTTGACGATGCCTTATGGGCATATCGGACCGCTTATAAGACCCGATTGGAATGTCGCCCTTCAGATTAGTTTTTGGAAAATCTTGTCATCTTCCCGTCGAGTTAGAGCACCGAGCATTTTGGGCGGTCAAGAAATGCAACTTCGACATTGACGAGGCTGGAAGGCATAGGAAACTTCAACTCCAAGAGCTAGAAGAATTGAGAAACGAATCCTATGAAAACGCAAGGATTTATAAGGAGAAAACGAAGCTCTTCCACGACAAGTCCATCACCCGGAAGAATTTTGAACCGGGACATAGGGTCTTACTTTACCATTCACGGTTGAAGTTATTCCCGGCAAATTAAGATCAAGGTGGATTGGCCCATTTGTTGTAATAAAGACTTTTGACCATGGAGCGGTGGAAATCCAAAGTGAAGAAACGGGACAAATTTTCAAAGTTAACGGGCACCGATTAAAGCCATTCTATGAAAGTTTTAATGCAAGTGTTATTGAAGTCATCCACTTGGATGTCCCGGTGTGTTGAACCAAGCTAGAAGGACGTCTCGCCTAAGACGTTAAAGAGAGGCATTTTTGGAAAAGCTTTATGCTTTCGTGTTTCTACGTTCGAATAAAGAAGTTTTGAAAATGTTTTGATGCGTCTTTTGAAGTCATTTTTGAAGAAATCAAGAGTTTCTAGGTGTTTGGGGCATTTGGGATCAAGAACTAGTGAAGAAACGGAAGAAAACAGAGAAAAATCGATTTCCGGGAGCAGGGATCTGCGCGACCCGCGCACGGGTGCGCGGCCGGTCTTCAACTTGCGACAAAAATCAGATACCTAACTGCATGATCTGCGCGACCCGCGTGCCCCCTCTGCGCGACCCGCGTGCTGCTTTGACGACCAGCCCATATTTTGTTGACCAGCTTTGACTTTCGTTGACCAGGTGGTTTAATGAGTTGACCAACATTGACCGGGTGTTGACCACACTTGAATATGGATTGAAAACCTCCAACAACTCTTCTTCTTCATTTCATTCTCTCAAAAACCCCACCATTCTCTCTCAAACTCTCAAGAACACATAAACCCACTTTTCACAAAAAATTGATTTTCCGGAGTTCCACCGGTCGGAATACGACAAGACCACCACCATTCTTCACCATTTTCCGTGCTATACAAACCCCACCTAAAGTTTACTCCGATCTATCGTCGGGTCTAGGGGCGCCACCACCACCCAACTCGCCGCTTTCCGGCCATTTTCCGGCCAACTCCTACCACCTCTCGCAATTCCGACACCACCAAAGTGTTTCTTTTTAGGGATCTTTACATCTAACCAAACAAAACCTCAAAATCTCACCAAAAATTTTCCCATAATTTTTGAGCCACCACGAGCCGCCGCCGGATTTTTCACACAAATCAAGTTGAAAATATCCCTTCAATGAACAAGTCTTGCATTTAGGCACCCACGAATAACCAAAGCTTGGGGTGCACGGTAGCGGATTCCGGGTTCAAGTTCAATTTTGGGATAATACGGGTATTCTCTTTCCTTGGTTTTTATTAGATTGCATTGTTTTAATTCGATAATTGCATCCAATTATGCTTTGGAAATTGCCTAAGATCGTTAGTTGTTGCCCGGTTTATTTGGAAACATTGATTTGAGAAAGGTTGAGATTGGTTAATTTGCTTGGAAATTTGTTCAAAAATTGTTTAAACTTTGGTTGGGATTTTCTCATTTGGTGTTTTGAAACACTTGAAACAAACTAGAATTAACTATGATTTAAATAGACAAATGCAACAAAAATAAGAGTTTGATGTAAAATCAATAAGGGAGAGAAGGTTGACTTAAAGTTTCCTCACTTTGACTTTTGATGAACATATCATTAGATTCCAATGGTGCAATACTTTGATTTAAATCCTTAATTTGGCTATAGTAATTCAAGGAGCTTGAGATTACCTAGACTTTTCTTAATTGTTGAAATGGCTAGAGAGCTCATAACAATTTCCTTAGTCAAAGTCACTAATTGCAAATAGCATGTAATTAGTGAAAGTCAACTAGCATTAAGAACCAAAAAGTCACAAATCCAAGAGGGGTCAAATGCTTTCACCACCATGTTGGAGGAAATGTTTTATGATTGTGTGAAGCAAAAACAACACAAAAATCATTTGTTGCTTGCTAATTTGAGGATCCTTTACTTAATCAAGAAATTAGCCAACTAATCACCACAAACACATTTAAACTCATGAACTAAAACATACAAGTAATGATAAGATGTTAAAACATAAAACATTCCCATAAAGATTCAAGAACATGTTCATGGATTCTTCAACATTCAACAAAAGTTCAAAGGATTAACCAAAAGTCAACCAAGATTAGCTTAGCCAAGCATGGCTAAACCCAAAGAAACAAAGTTAGAGAAAATTGTACCAAACATTAAGCAAGAATCAAGAGGTAAAAATATGATGTTCTTCAAGGGTTCTTGTCCTTCAAAAGTCTTCAAAACTCCAGAGAGAATCTACAAAAATCGGATGTCTAAGAGTCTCCAAAAGATGGGCACCAACCTTCCTCAAATAGCCTTCCAAATGGATTTCCGAACTTACCCCTGCAGAGCCTTGCGCGACCCGCGTGCTGCTGCGCAGGTGGGTTGCGCGGGTGGTGCCTGACATGGGCTTCTTTGAGATTTTGGGCCTCCAAAGCATATCTCACTAGCCCAGATCGAATCTAATCACCTCCTAGCCCATTTTCTTCAAGTTTTTCTTCATTTTAAGCCCAATTTAACCTCTGCAAATCCTCCACAACTCGTGAACTCGCCCAATTAATAATCTACGTACGCTTGAATATTCCCCTGCATCTTGCAAATTTAAAGTTTATTTCTCTCCAAGCCTTCAAATAATCATCAATATCACTCCATGCATCATCTCCGCTACCCATCAAGCCCAACATCATTTTTGTCTACCAAATCTCATCGCCTCCCATACGTCCCGAACACTCCCGCTCCGCTAGACTCGAAAACCTGCAATTATGCTCACAAGATTCGAAAGTACCCGAAATAGTCATAAAATAACAAAAAGGAAAATATGCATGGAAATTATCTAAATTATGAATGTAATATGCTAAAATAAACTAAAAAAGAAGTAAACAAAACTAACTATCAAATTACCCCACCTGAAGTTTACTCCGATCCATCGCCGGGTCTAGGGGCGCCACCACCACCCAACTCGCCGCTTTCCGACCATTTTCCGGCCAACTCCTACCACCTCTCGCAATTCCGACACCACCAAAGTGTTTCTTTTTCAGGGATCTTTACATCTAACCAAACAAAACCTCAAAATTTCACCAAAAATTTTCCCATAATTTTTGAGCCACCACGAGCCGCCGCCGGATTTTTCACACAAATCGAGTTGAAAATATCCCTTCAATGAACAAGTCTTGCATTTAGGCACCCACGAATAACCAAAGCTTGGGGTGCACGGTAGTGGATTCCGGGTTCAAGTTCAATTTTGGGATAATACGGGTATTCTCTTTCCTTGGTTTTTATTACATTGCATTGTTTCAATTCGATAATTGCATCCAATTATGCTTTGGAAATTGCCTAAGATCGTTAGTTGTTGCCCGGTTTATTTGGAAACATTGATTTGAGAAAGGTTGAGATTGGTTAATTTGCTTGGAAATTTTTTCAAAAATTGTTTAAACTTTGGTTGGGATTTTCTCATTTTGTCTCGTATTGCTGCCGAATTTTTGTTGGGATTATCAAATTAACAGAGTGGTGTTGTTGAAACCATTTTACATTGTCAAAAGTTGGGTGTCATTATTTCTTGGATTTTTTTTTTGTGTTCGGTCTAAAGATAGTTGCATTGATTTGAGAGTGGTGGGGTGAGGGATTACGTTGGTGAAGTTGTTTTTGATATTGTAGGTTTCGAAAATGGGCAAAACTGCGGCTCGGACACGCACCCATGGATCATCGATCGATCCTAACCCGCAAAAGGATGTCGTCGGTCCATCACGCAAAGCAGCCGGTAAATGAAAAAAAAGAGGAGAAGAGGGAAGCGATCCTTCCCTTACAAATGCTGAGATCAAAACCTATCGCTCCAATCTTCGGGGTCGCGCAATCCGGCCGACAAAATTCTACCATAAAAAGTCCATGAAAAAGCTTGGGGTGCATGATGGTGTATACAATTTGTTCCTAAAACTGGGTTGGCGTGGTTTTCTTCGACTTTGTGATAGAACTTACGAGGAACCCACAATGGAATTTCTTAGCACATATGCACGAGATGATGACACGAAAGTCCTTACATTCCAGTTGAAAGGGGAGCATCATAGGCTCACATACGAAGAGCTTGATTCTATCATGGGTATAACGATCCACTCCGCATCCGCCCCCAAAATCAAGAGTACCAAGATTTTCTGCATTACTCGGATGCAAACTTTTGGATGCAAATTTCCGGTCTCGCAACCTTCAACCCAAGCCGACAGCGAGCCAAGCACATCGTTCACCCCTGCTGGCGAATTGCTCACCGAGTCCTTACGACGAGTATCTTCGGGCGTCTCGAGCCCGGTCAAATCAACAGATGTGAGCTATTTTTCCTCCGAAGCATGAAGCGTGCACTCCCCCTCAGTTTTTCAGGCTTCTTTTTAGATAAATGCGACTCCATACGCCAACGTTTCTCAGGGGAAATTTTCATCAGGGGACTTATCACGATCATAGGTCGAGCCGTCGGCCTAGACTTCCCGGCTCCCGAGTACATACCTGTCGACACCCCACCGAACTTCCTGCTATACTGTGACACTCTCATCCGGATGGAGATGTTGCTCGATCGGGGAACCCGGACGTACAGTTGGTTAGACTCTGACAAAGCCTCGGTTTACATCCTGCCAAGTTGGATCGGTTCTTCATTCGATACAGGCGACCCCGACACTTGGCTTCCTCCAGATCAGTTGAACCAAGCAGGTGTATTCCCAGAATTCGGTGATGATGAGGGTGACGATGCAGAGCAACAAGAGGAAGAAGATGACGAAGAGAACGACGAGATGCCCGATGCTGAGGACCATTTTGACCAGCCCTCGATGCAGCAGCCGATGTTTCCGCATGATCAATTCCAGGCCCCTCCACACCATTTTGACCAGCCGCATCAGCAGGAGGGACACAAAGTCCCACCATATTTCCCCCACGTTCTTTGAACAATTTGCCACAATGTTCTCCACGGTGCAGCCATCCTAGATGTGGCAAGCCGTGTTGATCGATTGGAGCAGTCCTTCCGTTACACTTCCCGCCAGGTCCAGGATATGTGGGACTACCACTATCGCCACAGGCATTTCCCGCCGCCCGACCCCCCGATTTAGGTCCTTTCCGCCCTTTCCTCAAGCATTGAGGACAATGCTTGTTCTTAAGCTTGGGGTGGGGCATTTCATTTTCCTTTTAGTTTTTCATGCATTTTTAATTAGGTTGCATAACATTTTAGTTTTAAGCTAATTTTCATTCATTTTTTCTTAATTCCAAAAAGATTTTATTTTCTTCTTTTTCACCTTTTATATTTTTGCATAACATTTAGCTTAGGGCATTAACATTTATGCATTTTTGTTGTCTGTTTATTCTCATCTCCTTGAATGCCATGGAACAGGTTCATAGTTATTGTATCATTATTGGTCCAGGATCTTGTTGCTATCTCCCCCATCGAACCGGGACCATTAGCTGTAGTCTGGGACCTCATACTTGGGATCAGATGCTGGTAGCTTAAAGGGGTAAGTGATCATGGACAGGTAGTTTTCATGAAGAATTATGCATACAATACTAATGACTGTAGGATATACTATAGCAATGGATGTCTTAGGCTTGCGGTCACTACCGCCGAGAGGATCACACTTGATCATGTTTGAATTGTTAGGATGAAGCACTAGTGCTTGTCCCCGAGTAGAATCCATATCCAGTCTTTTTACATCACCATATCTTTTTGCGATTTTCTTAGGATTTTAGAGAAGTCTTTTAGTCCGCATGTGGACAATTTCGTTATTTTAGAAAAAAAAATATATTCACAAATTGGAAGAGGAGCTTACATTATATCTTTATGCTCCACACATGGTCATTTTCTCGCTTAGACCATTCAGATTATATTACTACCCTTTCGGTTCCACTTACACACTTTAGGAACCAAATGTTGAGTCAAAGGGTTGTTATTACATTACCTTCAAGTATGGTAACATCTTATCAAAAAAATAAAATAAAAATAAAATAAAATAAAAAATAAAAAAAATAAAAATAAATGGTGTGCAGACAAATTCCCAGCTGCAGAAATCTGAGAAGGGTGACCGGTTCAATTATTGAACTAAATTTTCTAACATTTTGGTCACCCGGCGTTTGAAATTCATTTATTTAGGTATGTTTTATTGTATATAGATCGAGTTGTTTTTCGCAAATTGGTGATGTTAGGGAGACTGTCGAGTCGGATACTACGGGAGGTTTGGGCCAACACCAAGTGAATCGATTCCTACAACGGTGCCCGAGCGATTAAACCTAGTTACACATGAGAGAAACCGGAAAATGTGAGATCAGAGTGTACACTTAAAAAAGAGCTCCACTCGAGCCCATCCAGCTGCTTTCTCCCTACTACAGATATTCTTCATTGTACACATGTTCCATTGAGGCTGCAACTGCTCATCCCTCCTTACTCACCTAAAGGAGTTGTCCTGGGTGTGGTTTATGGTTCCATTGTCATCGGATGAAAAATTCATGAGGTAATAGCAAGATCAATTCTGACCATGTTGACTAACGGGGATCAGGTTCTACGGTTCTATCAATTCTTTTTATTTTCTTAGGATAGTTCATCCCGAGTTCATTTTAGTCTTGTCTTACTTGAGGACAAGTAAGGTTTAAGCTTGGGGTGATTTGATAGTTAGTTTTGTTTACTTCTTTTTATAGTTTATTTTAGCATATTTCATTCATAATTTAGATAATTTCCATGCATGTTTTCCTTTTTATTATTTTATGACTATTTCGGGTACTTTCGAATCTTGTGAGCATAATTGCAGGTTTTTGGGTCTAGCGGAGCGGGAGTGTTCGGGACGTATGGGAGGCGATGAGATTTGGTAGACAAAATTGATGTTGGGCTTGATGGGTAGTGGAGATGATGCATGGAGTGATATTGATGATTATTTGAAGGCTTGGAGAGAAATAAACTTTAAATTTGCAAGATGCGGGGGAATATTCAAGCGTACGTAGATTATTAATCGGGCGAGTTCACGAGCTGTGGAGGATTTGGAGAGGTCAAATTGGGCTTAAAATGAAGAAAATAGGCTAGGAGGTGATTGGATTCGATCTGGGCTAGTGAGATATGCTTCGGAGGCCCAAAATCTCAAAGAAGCCCATGTCAGGCACCACCCGCGCAGCAGCACGCGGGTCGCGTAAGGCTCTGCAGGGGTAATTTCGAAAATCCATTTGGAAGGCTATTTGAGGAAGGTTGGTGCCCATCTTTTGGAGACTCTTAGACATCCGATTTTTGGAGATTCTCTCTGGAGTTTTGAAGACTTTTGAAGGCCAAGAACCCTTGAAGAACATCATATTTTTACCTTTTGATTCTTGCTTAATGTTTGGTACAATTTTCTCTAACTTTGTTTCTTTGGGTTTAGCCATGCTTGGCTAAGCTAATCTTGGTTGACTTTTGGTTAATCCTTTGAACTTTTGTTGAATGTTGAAGAATCCATGAACATGTTCTTGAATCTTTATGGGAATGTTTTATGTTTTAACATCTTATCTTTACTTGTATGTTTGAGTTCATGAGTTTAAATGTGTTTGAGGTGATTAGTTGGCTAATTTCTTGATTAAGTAAAGGATCCTCAAATTAACAAGCAACAAATGATTTTTGTGTTGTTTTTGCTTCACACAATCATAAAAACATTTCCTCCAACATGGTGGTGAAAGCATTTGACCCCTCTTAGATTTGGTGACCTTTTGGTTCTTAATGCTAGTTGACTTTAACTAATTACATGCTATTTGCAATTAGTGACTTTGACTAAGGAAATTGTTATGAGCTCATCTAGCCATTTCAACAATTAAGAAAAGTCTAGGTAATCTCAATCTCCTTGAATTACTATAGCCAAATTAAGGATTTAAATCAAAGTATTGCACCATTGGAATCTAATGATATGTTCATCAAAAGTCAAAGTGAGGAAACTTTATGTCAACCTTCTCTCCCTTATTGATTTTACATCAAACTCTTATTTTTGTTGCCTTTGTCTATTTAAATCATAGTTAATTCTAGTTTGTTTCAAGTGTTTCAAAACACCACCCCCCCCCCCCATTTTATATTTATTGTCATTGTACAAGTATTTTTACAAAGAGATTTTTTTTCATAGAGTTATAAATTGAACCAATCTCCGTGGATTCGATCCTTTTACCACTATACACTATTTTAGTGTGTAATATTTAGGGTTATTATTTGTGTTGGCATCGACAACCACCATGCCTCTTATGAGGTATCATTGTCCGAACAGTTTTCGATGTTCATTTTTTACTTTCTTTCTAGCTTTCACATTCAAACATTATCAATACTTATATCATCATTTATATAGCATAGACTACTAGAAAAATATATTTTGAAAAGACACATTTCATATATCAAAACATTCGTGCTTAAAAAACATTCTTTGCTTTCTAAACATTTTTGCTTTCAATGAACTCTTTCAGAACATTCTTTTCAAAAGTAGTTTACACTTTCATTTCAAAATGTTTCATATATTATTGATATTTCATTATCAATAAAGTCAATTTTCTATGTACCCCAAGGTGGAAAAATGAAAATACATACTCATCTCAATCACACGAAGATTGCCTAGTCCTATTCTAATTCTTTTCTGTCACACCCCCGCACCAGACGGTGGAAACGTCCGGGGGATTGCGTGTGACTTCATCCTTATAGTATCATCACATAGTATATAACTAAAACATAACATCATCATCATCACACATGTAATATAACAACGTACATTGTTTACATCAAGTATTGTGTTTAAACATTACATGCTAGAAATATAAAAGTACGATGAAACAAAATATAACAGAACATCCATTAAATTGTTCAGCTCAACCTGCTTCAACGGTTTCCTGAGAATACAAGTTAATTTGAAAAGCTCAACATAAAAATGTTGGTGAGTTCATAAGGATGTTTTGAGAAAATGATTTGTATAACTTTGTAATCACAAGAAAATCCTGTACTTTCTTAAGATAGTTTAGTGTGTTTGTGTCCGATCTGGTATTAATGCATGTGTGTTTTTGTTTAGTAGAATCCGAAAAGTAAGTGAAGAGAATGTAAAGAGAAAGTCCCCAGACAACCCTATGTTGTCTGTAAAAGAGAATGGTTTGCTGTAAATTTCATAATATTAATTCCTCTGAGTGAGTCGTTATAACCATGGTAATTAATGACAAATTCGCCTGTCTTGGCGTTGTTGGACGCCGACGGAAAATAGAATAAGGATTTTGGTCACCCTAGACTGATGTAGTCTAACTGTAGCGAACAACTCAAGTGTGGGGTGTCATTCCCGTATAGATCTATACACAAACCCCCGCTCTCCATCCAAGAGACTTTGGTTATAACTACACGCTACGATCGTACACTCAATAAGTGTCAACCGACAAGTCTCACTAGATCCTTAATCGAATTTTACGTGAAAAGAAACATATAAAACTCATTCCTGGCCCAATGAACCATGTCTGCAGACCACTAAGTCTCACTGAACGCGGGAGTCATTTTCAGGCCCGAAAGAAATGAGATTATATAACATTGGCCCAAAATATATGTAAAAGGACAACTAAGGCCCATTTCACATGTAAGGTATTTATAGGCCCAAATAACATGCAAATAGTATCCAAGGTCCACCGTGCATGTAAATGGGTCAATGAGGCCGAATAAACAAATAAACAATATTCAAGACCTATCAAACATATTAATGGGTCACTAAGGCCCAATAAACATGAAAATGACCTAATTAGTCCGTTTATTATTAGATTGCTAGTTTTAGCTCAATTATTTACTAAAATGATATAAAATGCCCACTTTTGTAAAAATGACACTCTTAGCCCATTAAGTAAAAAATTTACATTTATGACCTAATTTTAGTAAAAATAACATTTTAGGGCCTTTCAAATAGCAAGACTTGCATCTAACAAAAGTATAAATACTTTGAGTAAG